GTTGAGCTCATGCTGAAGTGGCTTTAAAAGCTCCTTAGTGCTGTGCTTTAACCCGCTGTGTGGCCACCAGGGAGGGCCTTCAGCAGTGGATTCTTAAGATAGGCCTATTTTCTGTGATGGCAGCACCAGTTTACATTCTAACCAACAGCGCATAAAGTTTTCATTTTCTCAGTGACTTCTCCAACACTTAATTTCTTTTCTTTTTAGTGATACCATTGTATAGGCATATTCATAAAAACAGAAAGTAAATTAGTAACTGCTAGAGCTGAGTGGAACTATAAGGGAATGAATGCTAATGGGTTTTTTTTTGGGATGACAAAACTATTCTGAAATTAGATAGTAGAATTGGTTGCCCAACTTTGTGGATATACTAAAATACAATAAATTATATAATTAGAAAAATAGCCATTCTAACATTTGTAGGTGCTCTCTCTTTGTGGTTTTGATCTATGCTTCTCTAATGATTAGTGATAATGAATTTTTTCACATATCTGGTGGTCATTTGTATGTCTTTGCAGAAATGTCTATTTAAATCTTCTGCCTGCCTTTTAAACTCTCCTTACAATTGAGTTGATGAGTTTTTAAAATATTTTGGACGTTAACCCCTTGCATATGTTTCCTCCCATTTAGTGGGTTAGCTTTTCATATTCTGATGGGTTCTTTTGCTGTAGTGAACCATATAGCTCATCATTTGACCTTAACCAATGTATGTTTTAGAAGTATCTGCTAATGTTTATAATATACTCAATGTATTTGTCTAACACAATGTAATTCTTTTTCCAGGTAATTTATCCTCAACATTCCAAGCTTACTGATAAAGAAGTAAGTAAAAATATTGTTCTGTATGATCTACTGTTGTATTTATGTTTGTTTTTACTGATGTGTGTGTTTCAGCATATATAGCTTTTGTTTTCTTTTTCAGAAAACCAATATTTGCTATTTGTCTTTTCCAGATTCAAATTCAGGTAACTATTTTTTCATGTAGTGTTTCTGCTCAGTTTTTGTATTAAGAATACTGACTATTTTCAGTAAATGAAAACTGATTAAAATAGTGTATTAGAATGCAGCTCAATTTCTTACTAATAGGTCCACATCCACATTCCTTTTTTTTTTTAAAGTCCATATTCTTGATTCATAGTTTAATGATACATTGTTGTGTCTGTTGACTTTAGTTCATTCAGCTTTAAAAATAACTTAATGATTTGGGAACTTGCCAAGAATTCTGTAAAAACACTGAGTTAAATAAAAAGAAAACAAAACAAAAATCAGTGGTGAATCTGGTGATGAAACATGGCCATTAATTATTTGCAATAGTTTATGTTAGTTAATATATGTAAAGCACTTGGTATAGTGTTTGGAATATAGAAAACAACATATAAGTGTTTGCTATTATTAAACTTGGTTTTGCTGGTTTCTTTCAAACTTTCCCTTTGTGTGGTCCTAATTGTTGAAATCTTTCAGGTTACTGATTGTGTTTCACTTTCAAAACAACCTTTTAGGTTTACCATTACCAGAGCATGTCAGACCACACACAGTTAGGGTTCTGTGAGGCAAATACATCATGGTTCCCTTTCCTTTTGCAGTTACTTCTAATATCCTGTTAATTTAGTTTAATCTAATTTGGGACATTTGGCATTTTAATTTGCTGAAAGCATTTTCTCTTTTTCTTATTAATGATCCCAGAATTTAGGATGTATAGGAATTTAGAATTCATTTAGAATTCAGTTTTTGTGACATACATAAAAGAGAAATAATGTCTTAGTAAAAAAGATGGCTTTGAGACATCTCAGTAGGACTTCTCTTCTAAACAGGTTATTGGAATCTTAGTACATTTTACCTACCAATGAAATGATGATGGAGGAAAGGTAGGGTCTATCCTCATTTTAGTTAACATTTTCCATACAAAATTTGCACATTGCAGTTCTGAATGAAGTTAGTATTAGATTTGACTCTCAGGATGTAGGGTAAGCTGAGTTAAATTGATTGTAGGATGAACTGACTTTATGTGATTGGAGTCTCAGTGGACTATACTGCCCACTCTTCTCTTTCAAATTATAGCCAGTTTTCATGATTCTGTCTCTTTTCTACCTCTTTATAAGTGTCAAGGTTACTAACTTTGGATAGCCTTATTTCTAGTTTTATAGTTTGTGTCTTACTCATTTTTTGTTGCAAGTTAAAGTATAAATTTGTGTAAATCAGAATTTTAAGAAATATTTTAGGTATTTGAGTGACCAAGAGATTTTTTATAAGTTGCATATATGAAGTGTACTTCATTTTATTGGAAGTATGTTCAGCCCTTACAAGTAAAATCGATGAAAGATCTTAAATACAGACACTTTGCTATCTTAAAAGATGAATATTAGTCTAGACAATAAGAGACTATGCATTTTGAAATTTGGTATCACTATTTTCAGTTGTGATAGTCCAGTTTGTTTCACTTGCATGTACTTTTGTGATTACTGTACCAACTTTGGGATAGATTTAATTTTTATTTTATATATATATACATACATATATATATATATATATATATATTTACATCATTCTTCATTTTGTGCATTTTTTTCATCTCAGTTGTAATCCCCATAGGCTTCCCACCACCAGTTCACCCATGTGCCATCACCGTAGTCCAGTGCATTCTTCCCACTCCAGTTCTGATCCCATTCTCCTTTCCACTTCCATAAAATTAAAATTTAATTTTTCCCAAGATAGCTTTTGTTGTTATGGAAGAAAGTCCAGGCACACTAGAACAGTTTTAGAAAAGAGACATAAGCTAGTTCTTATTTTCATGGTGCAAAAAAGGTAAAAACAATATTTAGACTCCATGATAAGTTCTACAAAGACAATATTTCCAGAATTCTCAGTGGAACGATTTGCCAGTTCCCCACATCTTCCACCTCATAGGCACATACACCTTAGTTCCTGTGACTTTAGAGAGAAATTTTGGTTGGTTGGTTAAGTTTCAATCTCTTGTTCCATTTGAATGGCCTTTTTTTAAGCAGGCTTATGGGTCTGTGCCAAGGTGAATGGCTTTTATCTTTTGGAATTTTAAGTTTAAGTATGTCTTCCTTATTTTTTTTTTTTTTTCAAAGATTTATTTATTTGTGCATACAGAACTGGGGTGCAGGCCAGAGGCTCAGGGGCGGTGAGAGGCTTCACCAGAGACAGAGTGGGGAACAGAACAGGCAGATCGATGAAGTACACTGCTGAGGGGAGCAGCGGGCAGGTCAGGAGAGGTCTGCCGCGCCATGTGGTCACCTCCGGGGCAGGCGGGAATCGAACTCATGCAGAAGCGGCTTTAGATTCTCAGTGCTGTGCTTTAACCTGCTGCGCCACCAAGGAGGGCCGTTCCTTATTTTTTTTTAAGATTTATTTTTTATTTATGCATACAAGAACTGAGGTATAGGCCAGAGGTGTGGAGGTGAAAGGATTCAACAAAGACAGAGTGGGTAGCAGAACAGGTGGATCTACTGAAATACACTGCTGAAGGGAGCAGAGGGCCAGACCAGAGAGGTCTGCTGTGATACTTGAGTCAGCTCCCTGGCCTGCCATATAGCTTGATAGTGCTGAAACTTTAACCCCTGAGCTAAGGGAAGCCCTTTTCCTCCTAATTGTTTACTATTAAACACATCTGGCTGTCAGTGTTTCTGAGACTTAAGCTGGGAAAGGCTTTCAAGGGCTGTAATTACTGTATTTTAAACATGTCCAGAGAGAAAGTATAGGATCAGTGCAGAGAGTTTCAGGCAGTGATGATTTCAAGGAAAAAAGGTTAATCCTTGCTGTGGATGGATTTGATTTGTCTAAAATTTCTCTGTAAATAAAAGGGACATCATCACATATACTTTATTACCTCCCAATGGCTGAAACTGCAGGGCTGCTTATAGCTGTCTCTGTTGAATGGTAAGTTTTTCATTTTTAAATTTCCATTCTGCGTGGAACAGTACTTTTGCAGTTTAAATGTATTATTAGAAAAATGAAAGGAGGGCCTCCCTGGTGGCGCAATGGTTAAAGCACAGCATTGTGAAGCTGCACAAAGTCACTGCAGCATAAGTTTGATCTCCACTCAGGCCGGTGACCCACATGGTCTCCCTGCTGCTTCCCTCAGCAGTGCATTTTAGTCAATCTGCATGTTCTGTTGCCCACTTTGTCTCTGGTGAATCCTCTCACTCCTCCATACCTCTAGCTTGTACCCCAGCTCTGTGTGTATACATAAATAAATCTTAAAGAAAAATGAAAGGGAGAACTATCAAAGAAATGCAGAATAAAAGTCCACCTTTGTGTCATAGCACTATTTAATTGTTACATTTCTATGTATTTTTTTGTTGTCTTTAATTTTAATTTTAAATTTCCCCTCCCTCAAATTATACTTATTGATTTTACATCTTTGTATCTGGTCTGCAGTTCCTAGGTCCAAACCCTCTATAAATGTGTACTTTTCACATTCTACCCACTCAGTGCCCCAACAAGCTTCTGCCACACACCATTGGGCCTTTTCCTTCTCCCATTCCCATCCTTCCACCCTCCCACTCTGGTTGCCTCAGTTTTGCAATCAGATGTGAAAGAGTTTATTATTGGTTGATTGGTTGGGTTTTTGACTGGCCCTTTTTTATGTTTCTTTTTATTCTTCATAAAGGTGAGATCATCCCGTATTTGTGTTTCTCCTTCTGACTTACTAGCATTATCCTTTCCAGTTCTTTCCAGGTTGTTGCAAATAGCAGGAGTTTGTCGTCTTTTTTTTTTTTTTTTTAATATAGCTGAGTTAGTAATCTGTTGTGCATTCTGATCCACTGCTCTGTCCTTAGGTACTTAGGCTATTTTTAGCTATTGTAAATAAGGCTACAATGAAAATAGGAGTACACATATCAGGGTAATGTTTTTGTATTTTTGTGGTAGATACCTAGCAGTGGAACTGCTGGGGCATATGGCAGATCCATTTTTAATATTTTGAAGCACCTCCATACTGTTTTCCATAGGGGATGGGTCGGTTTACATTCCTTCCTACAGTATATGAGAAACCCTTTTTCCCTACATCCTGGCCAACATTTGTTGTTTCTGGCTTTTTTTTTATGTACACCATTTTCACAGGTATGAGATGGTATCTCATTGTGGCTTTGATTTGCATTTCTCTGAAAATAAGTGATGATGAACAATTTTTCATGTTCTTTAAGGCCATCTATATGTTTTCTGTAGAGAAGTGTCTGTTTAGCTCTTCTGCCCATTTTTTTTTTTAGGAGGGTGGGGGGATTATTTGTTTTCTTTTTGTTGAGTTGCAGGAGTTTTTTTTAATATATTTTGGATATCAGACCTGTGTCTTATGTGCAAATATTTTCTCCCATCAGTAAGGTATAGTCTTGTTTTACTGATGGTTTGTAAGAGTTTCTAAATGCTTATTCTCAATTTGGATATTTATTTTATTTTGCACCAGTAGTAAGAGTTTGTGTACTGTCATTGGTCCATGGACTACACTTTGACAAACTCTGGTCTGAAGCCCTGCTTCTCAGCAATTTCAACTCAACGACTCTTATCAGAGGGAGAAGTCTACATAGAGATGAAGTTCAGGGGTTGGAGCTAGCTCTTAAGTCTCATATTTTATCTCAGTCTCATGTACTCTGAACCATTATATAACTGTGTTGGTGTTACTTTAGAAGTAATCTTTAAGGTTATCTGTTCTCTTTAAGAACACTAGTTAGGCATTTTTTCCCCCTTCAAATTCCCAAGTGATATTTTTGGAAAATAGAAGGTATCTTCTGTTTCCCTTTAGCTTTACAGTCTCAGTTTGATTGGGAGAGGTAAAAGAAGATTGAAATATATCTTGGGCCCCTGATTATCTTAAAATGGGAATTCTTTATGTGACATTGTATATGCCACACGCCATTTATATAGGAGGAGCCATGACTGAATGGACTGGCTCCTTCCTTGACTGTGACATAGAAGTCAGTGAGTTCAAGAACTCTGCAATCTGATGGTTATTTTTCAAAAGGACTTTGGTTTTTTTTTGTTTGTTTTGTTTTGTTTTTGTTTTTGTTTTTTTTGAGTGAAGAAAGCTGCTTTGATATCTGCTCCAGTTAGCAGTGATACATTTTTAAGGAGTTTTGAGATAAAGCTTAATTATAAAGTATATAATTCAGTGACGTTAGGTGTATTTACAGAATTGTACAACTGTTATCATAGTTAGTTTTAGAAAAATTTGTCACCTGAAAAGAAACTCTGTGTTCCATTTTCTTCCCCTTCCTCCCCACTCCAAGTTTTAAGCAGCCATTTAGCTACTTTTTGTTTCCATGGAGATCCCTATTCTAGATCTTCCTTATAAGTAGAAAGTAGTTTTTGCAGTCCATTAAGACTTGAAAGAACCAATATGATGTTGTGTTCAAGAATACCACCTCCAAATTCAGACATACTAAGTTTAAATTCATGCTCTACAATTTAGTGGATTCTTTTCTTCTGATGGTTTTAAAGCCATTCTGTGCCTTTGCTTCCTCCATATAAACAGAAATAATAGCAGAACCTGTCTGAGAAGCACAGAGACCAAATGAGTTAATATAGATAAAGCATTTACAACAGTATCTGGCACAGAGTAAGCAGTCAATGAATATTAGTAATATATACATTAAAAGGAGGAAAAAACACACTTCTGAAATAGTGACAAAAATAATTAAAATGATTTTGACCTGATATTCTATTTATTTTTTCTTATAAGAACTTAGTTATTGCAAAGGATGGTGGGAGAAGATGGTTATAAAAATTTTCTTAAAGTGTCAGATTACTTAAAAAAAAAGTGTCAGATTATTAGGTCTGTCTTCTAGGCTAGTAAAGATTGTGTTAGGTTAACAAAATGGAATGCTTCCAGAGTTGTGAAGTCTCACTGGACAGCTGTTTTCTCAATACTTGCTACTTTTTTCAAGGGGAAGGGCTTATGATGCTCTTGATGAAGACCCCATGGTAAGGTGTATTTTTCTTGGAGAAATGTCATTTAATAATTTTTTTTAAAATCTTACATTTTAAAAGGTTAATCCCTTCTTTCTTAAACTTTACCTCTTTTAAAGAGACAGATCTCCTTCCTGCCTGTAACTATGCAGGTGTTTGTTTTTACAAATCTTTTCCTTTTGCAGTTCTTTCTACCTGCTTGTGTCTGTACAAATGTCCTTTCATTTTTTTTTTAAATATAAGAAAACTCCCCTTTTAAAGGTGTGTATGTGTGTATAATATGTGTGTGTGTAGTCTTTATATATATATAAATATATATACACACACACATATACACACATGTGTGTATGTGTATATACATGTTAATCTTTCTGCCTTGGTTTATATAAAGAAAAGATCACTTCTGTTAAGTATTTTCCCATTTTTAAATGTGAGTAATTAAAAAGCTATGCTCCCTGTAGCATAATATTTAAGTCTTCAAATCTTTGCACATCTTGATTTTTTCTTAAGTGATATATTGGGTAAGATGCTTGAAATTCAGTATAGTTGTTTGGTAATTGTAGAACTTTACTTTAGAATCAGTGAATTGCTCAAACTGACTTTAAGAGATTATTTTATGATATACCTTACATTTGTTGACAAGGAAATAGAGAACCTTGGGTTAAATTACTGCAGAAGGCGGCCCTCCCTGGTGGCACAGCGGGTTAAAGCACAGCACTGAGAAGCTAAAGCCACTTCAGCATGAGTTCCATCCCTGCCTGCCCCGGAGGTGACCACATTGCGCAGCAGACCTCTCCTGACCCGCCCGCTGCTCCCCTCAGCAGTGTACTTCGCCAGTCTGCCTGTTCTGTTCCCTGCTCTGTCTCTGGTGAAGCCTCTCACCGTCCCTGAGCCTCTGGCCTGTACCCCAGTTCTGTATGCACAAATAAATAAAATAAATAAATCTTTAAAAAAAAATTACTTCAGAAGGCTACTTTTTAAAAAGATTTATTTCTGTGCATACAAGAAATGCGGTACCGGCAAAGGTATGGGGGGGATGAGAAGACTCACCAGAGAGAGTGGGGAGCAAAACAGGTATATGTACTGAAATACACTGCTGAGGGGGACAGTGGGGAAAGACAGGAGCAGTTTGATGCATCATGTGGGTCACCTCTCTGGCAGGGGATTGAACTCTTGCAGCAGTGGCTGTGGATAGCTTCATAGTTCTGTGCTTAACCCATTGTGCTACCAGGGAGGCACTTAGAAGGCTTTTTTTTTTTTTTAAAGAAGCAGAACAGACAAATCTACTGAAATACACTGCTGAAAGGAGCAGGTGGTGAGACAGGAGAGGTATGCTGTACCTTGTACACCAGCTCCCTGGGGATCAGGCCACAGTGGCTGGCAATAGCTTGATAACGCTGAGACATTAACTCCTGTGTCACCAGGGGGACCCCTAAAAGGCTATATTCTGATAGACCTAGAACTAGGTCCTGTTGATTCCTTTTCCTCAGATCATAGCTTTTCTTGTGATCACACATTTAGTTAGTCTTCATGTTATTATGTTGCTCATGTAGAACTGCTGTGTTATGTAGATAAACTGGATGGGTCATACTAACAATATAGATTTATTTTTATGAGGTTGTAGGGTATTGGGCTTGCCCTGCCTTTCCTTGTCATCATTTCTGCAAGGCGAATGTAAAACAACAACAACAAAACTGATTGCTAATCTTGTAATGTCTCTTTTCCTATCATCATAATGGTGAGGTCAGGATAGAGAACAAAGGTCTAGTCAGATAAGGAGTTGATATTTTCTTTAGTAACCTTTAGTGTGTGAAGAGATAGACCTGTGAAACAATAAATGGGGACTGTTTGCCTCAGTTCACAAAGAAACTAGCTGAAAGTCTTTTTAACCTGGTAAAGTAGCTTCCTGATAATTCTGTACAGCTTGCTGGTACAGTAGATCACTGGAATGTTCTCATAGGTATATGATTTGGGAATGGAGTCAGATGGGTAGGGATTTAATGCTGAAGGAACTTTATAACTTTTCTTCATTTCTTACACTTTCCAGACATTATGCATCTCTGTTTTTAAAGTTCATTGTATATTTCTGCGCTATTTTACTAAGTACCTTGGAAAAATTAGTTTTTATTTCTCTATGGGTTTCTTTCCCCCTTCTTCCCTTCCTTCCTACCCACTTCCCCTCCCTCCCTTCCTCCTCTTCTTCCTTTCTCTTCTCAAGAGGAAAATTGAACATTAGTACGTAAATTTGTTGAACTTTAAACAATGCTATAAGTATTTTCCATTATCTCAGGTTTCATGTGTTTCCTTATTTTTAACCTAAGTAACAAGGAACTGAATTGGCATGCTCTCCAATCCGTTTTGTTTCTTTACCACCAAAGAAATATTTTTAATATTACGTTTAGATGCTTGTATTGAGTTGCTTTTTAAAAAACTTAAACATATTTCAAGCTTGTTTTCTGAGACTGTTAGGAAAAATATGCACCTCTGTGTAGAATGATAAAGTCTAGTGCACATTTACTGGACTGTGGTGATGGCACATGGGTAATTTGGTGATGGGAAGCCCAAGGGGATTGCAAATGAGATGGGAAAATGCACAAAATGATGTAAAAATAAACTATTATATATATTTTTTAAAATCTAGTGCACATTTCATAGTTAATATAACTTTTCAGTTCTAAGTATTGTAACTAGAAGAATTAAGTGACAAGCTACTTCACGTGTCTTATTTTTTAGAATATTAACTTTTTTGTGATTATTGCATGATAGTTTAGGTAAAATTTACATAGTTTTGGTAGAATTTACTTGTTTTAAGACATTTGCTAAAACAATTCAAGTTTAAAAACTTTATTTTTGTGGCCCTCCCTGGTGGCGCATCAGGTTATAGCACAGCACTGCAAGCCAGCCGCAGCTGCTTCAATGTGAGTTCTATCCCTGGCCCCTGGGGGTGATCCACATGGTGCAGCAGACCTCTCCTGTCTGGCCCGCGGCTCCCCTCAGCAGTGTACTTTGTCAATCAGTCTGTTCTGCTCCCCATTCTGTTTCCAGTGAATCCTATCACCCACCCTTCACCTCTGGCCTGTACCCAATTCTGTGTGCATGAGTGAATAAATCTTTAGGGGGAAAAAAAAAACCTTTATCTTTAATCGAAATGATAAAAATAGTAGGTCTGCTGCTTTGCCTCTTCATGAAACTCAGTTCTTCCTGTGTCTTCTGCACTGTATCTCTTTTTTTTTTTTAGGCTTTACATCATGAAATACAAAGACATACAAAGTAAAGAAATAGGATTTACTAGCTTCTCAAGTCTCATGTCCCCTCCCATACATGATTTCAAATCTCTTCCCTCCAACTGTAACTACTATTTTGACTTTATAGAAATAACTTGCTTTTCTTTATAGTTTAGTTTTATCTGCTTTAAAATAAAGCACGTTTGACTGAATTCAAACGTGTTTTTTTTGTTTTTGACCTTTTTTGCTCATTATGTGTTTATGAGTCAGTATTAATGCATCTAGATAACTTTGAAAAAAAAATTTTGCTTTGCCCCTTAACTAGCAAAAGTGGCTTTGAGCAAGTCACTTGACCTATCAGGATCTCCTTTTTCTTTTCTAAGACATATAGAATGAGTTGAACATATAAAGTGGTTGAAAGCAAAAAAAAAAATAATAATAATAATAGTTGAAAGCATTCAGTCAGCTCAGACATTTGAAGAAACTGGTCAGATAATTGTTACTCTGTGCTATCCTTATTTCTTTCATTTTTGTTTTCATTAGGTTGTCTTGGAGATACCCAGTTTTGTTTTAGATTTCGACAGTCTTCTGGGAGGAGGGTGTCACTGCATTGTCTCCTGGATCAATTTGACAAAGATTTGCCAGTTTACTTAAAGGTTAGAAAAGTAGTAATAGAAGACTGTCCATGGTAGAGGAAATTTTAGAACTTGGTTATTCAATTACCTGTCAGAGAGCATCCAGAAGTATTTTGCTTTTGTTTGTCACTTTAATACACAGTTGGATTTCCTAAGTAAATCTAATAGGGTTCAACATGTGAATGAAAAAGACTCTAAAAGTTATTGTTCTTAAAACATTTTATAAAGCCATTGTGAATTACAGAAATAAATTAGAATGTTGAAGTAATTTTGTTAATAACTCTTTGTTTAAATGTGGGGTGGTTTGGTAAGTTACTGTTCTTAAAACATTTTATAAAGCCATTGTGAATTACAGAAATAAATTAAAATGTTGAAGTAATTTTGTTAATAACTCTTTGTTTAAATGTGGGGTGGTTTGGTAGTATACCAGGTAATGGCACCTGGAGTTGGAGATTATCAGTGGTCACTCCTACCTACTTTATGGTAGAATTATAGTTGTGTCTATTTGATTTTTTTTGCGGACTTTGTTTTATAGTTATTTATTTAAAACAATGATTCATATTATTAATAATTCAGTTAAAAATTAAGATAATTCTTGAGTGCAGGTATTTTACTCCACATTGACACCTCTACTTCAGGAGGAACATTTCCACTGGGATGTCTTAATAGTATATCCAATATGAAGTTGACTTTATTTGCCTGAAATCATCATTTATAGTTTACCCTCCAGGTTTCACTAATGCCAGGAACCCTATTGTAATACTAATGATGGTACTACTTCCTTGTCCTCATATTTTAGGCTTTTAAAATAAGATCTTCACCTTTCCAATTTCCAACTTCATTTCCTTTCTGTTATTGAATTTTAGCCAAATTGAATTGTGTGCTTTTCCCTGAGTTAGCTTGTACTTTTCTATCTCTGTGAGGTTTTACTCACACTTTTGACTTATCTGAATTTGGAATGTCTTTGAATTATATCCATGCTTCAGTGCACAATTCAAAAATAGCTGCTTCTAGAAATCTTAACTGATCTCTACAAACAGAGGTAATCTTTTCCTCCTTGTCCTTTTTGTAATAATTTGTGCTTTTCACCATGGTACCTGCCATCCTATTACATAATAGTCATTTTTGTACTTTTCTTACCACTCTTAGATTTTTATTTTCTTAAGGAACTGTGTCTTAGGCATCTTTTTATTTTCACTGACACAATGCTTTGTTCAAAGTAGGTGGCTATCAAATATTCGTTTAAATAATAGCAATCAAATAAGGAATTGGGCCAGAGTTTATTCCATTAGGAAGTAAAAATGGCTAAGTTTAGGGGAATGTAAACTTAAGATATTTTAAAATTTTAATTTCTCAAATTTTACATTGATAAACATTCTAATTTTTCATTAATATTGAATAAAAATGTAACTTGTTATGTAAAATTCCATTTAGCATTTAACTCTTTTTTTCCCCCCCTTTTGAAATTTTGCATTAAGATGCCTCATTTTCTTAAGACTTACCCTTAAGATTTTATAAATCTCAAATTATGGGTAGGTTTTAAAAAACAAAACTAAATATATATCATTAACGAAACCATAGAAATTGTTTCTCACTTTTATAGCTATACAGAATAAAAATAAAATGAGTGAGTTTAGGAGGAAGCACTGACTTTAGTACATTAGTTATGATTATTTTATCTTTGGGCAAGTTAACAGGTTTATTCTATCAGTTACTGAAATTGTGTTGGAGGAAAAGTGTAACCTGCTCTTTGTGCTACCTTATTTATCAGCTTGAATTTATAATATGTTGATATTAAAGGATGGCAGTGTGTTTGTTGATTTATCAATCAATGAATCACTTCTTTTGTAGAAGGATCCTGCTTATTTTTATGGATATGTATATTTCCGACAAGTTCGAGATAAAACTCTAAAAAGAGGCTACTTTCAGAAGGTAATTTTCATATCACTAATAGAAAAAGTACTTTTATATTGTGATTAGAAAAATAGAAATGTTTCTATTTTAAAACCTTTGATATTTTATCTTTTATATATTAGAATTTATATTTTGTTTTTGTAGATTATAGACATCTGTCCCTTGATTAATTGCCATTGAGTTTTGCTTTTTTCCTATTTCTGTGTTAGAATCCTGACAATAATTTATGATCATTATATAAAATCACCAAAAGTTAGAATCATCATCTTTTTACATTTTAGAATAAAAGAAAGAACAGATTATATTATAGTTAATAAACACCTATAATATCTTTTTTTGAAGAGCTAGTAAATCTGTTTTAGCAACACTTTAGTTACCACTCTAAATGTACAAAACTTTCCTTTCTTAAAAGAAAAGGAATTTTTTTTTATTTAATCCTAGCTAAAAGGGACTTGGTAACATTCTTGTTACCAAGAATGTACCCTGATCACTAATTATGGTGGGTTGAAGATTTAAAAACTAGTTTAAAAGAAAACTACTTTGGAGGGGAAAAAGAAGAAAAAAAACCAGATCACAAATAAATCAACATAATCCTTATCTGAAGTGATCAAACTGTAGTTACAATTTCTAAGTATTTGGTGTGATAATTAAACTCTAAAAATTTAACAGTTCTACATTTAGCTTGAAAAGGCATCACAAATTGTTCTTTCCTTAACAGAAAGACTTCATCATTCCTGAGAACATTTTGGTGACAATAATAGCTAGATTTCAGAAGTTATCCATGACATCAGTCTGTAGCAAATTCTTTTTCTTGATGAGCAGGAAAATCTATGAATATGCCTTTATTCTTTTAAAATTTAGTAACATCAGTTAAAACTGCTTGCATAATTTCATGTTTTCTTTCAACTATCCACTATTTAAAAAAAAAACTTTTTATTTCAAAATTCACACTTTTTGTTGCATTTATTAGTAATTGTGTAAGAAACAATATACTTAAACTATAAGAAAACTTACAAGCATTGTTTGTTTTTCCTTCCAGTCCTTGGTTTTGATCAGCAAACTACCTTATATTCATTTTTTTCACACTGTGCTCAAACAGATAGCACCAGAATATTTTGAAAAGAGTGAACCTTATTTGGAAGCGGGTAAGTTTAAAAACATGAGTTAGAGACCTTTATGAAGGAGTTTTAAAATTTCACTGGGAGATAGTGATAAAAATGAAGTTTCTTAATGTACCAGTTAAGGGCCCACCCTGTGGCGCAGCAGGTTAAAGCACAGCACTAAGAAGCTAAAGCCACTTTAGCATGAGTTCAATCCCCCCCTCCTCCCCGGAGGTGATCCACATGACAAGGCAGACCTCTCCTGGCCGGCCCACTGCTCCTCTCAGCAGTGTACTTTATCTGTCGGCCTGTTCTGCTCCCTACTCTGTCTCTGGTGAATCCTCTCACTGCCCCTGCACCTCTGGACTGTACCCCAGTTCTGAATGCATAAATAAATCTTCAAAAAAAAAAAAAAGTACCAGTTTAGGGGCCCTCCCTGGTGGCTACTATGAAGCTGGCCGCAGCCGTGTCAGCACAAGATAGATCCCTGGCTGGAGAGGTGACCCAAATAGCACAGCAGACCTCTCCTAACCTACCCACTGCTCTCTTCAGCAGTGTACTCTGTCAGTCTGCCTGTTCTATCTCTGGTGAATCCTCTCGCCACCTCTGGCCTATACCCCAGTTATGTATGCATAAATAGGTAAGTCTTTAAAAAAAAAAGTACCAGTTAAGAATTTTAAGGACTATATAGTGGGAGAGAGGCATAAAAATATTCTTCTGGTGGGCCCTCCCTGGTGGTGCAATGGGTTAGGATGCAGCACTGCAGTCTGGCCGCAGCTGCTTGAGTGAGAGTTCGATCCCCTGCTCCAGAGGTGATCCACATGGCACGGCACACCTCTCCTGACCCACCTGCTGCTCCCCTCAGCAGTATACTTTGTCAGTCTGCCTGTTCCCCACTCTGTTTCTGGTGAATCCTCTCACTGCCCCTGCACTTCTGGCCTGTACCCCAATTCTGTATGAATAAATAAATAGATCTTTAAAAAAAAAGCAACTTTATAAGAAAAATATTCTTCCAGCATTTTTACCTACAAACACCAAAAACCTTATCTTTTGATACTCTTTTTGTAACAGGATATCTGTTTATAAAGGTAAGAAACAATTATTGCATAAAGATTTCAAATTTCAGAGTATTGAACAGAAGTCCCACGTCTCTTATAGAGGGAAGGCCCTGTTAAGTGGCATGTTTTTGTAGTTAATTTTAGTGTTAATAATTGTATAGGAAAATTCCCTTTAAACCTATAATTTTGTTGCTTTCCAAAATTTTATTTACTAATCCTAGAATATAGATACAGGGTTTTTTTTTTTAAGATTTATTTATTTATTCATACAGAACTGGGGTACAGGCCAGAGATGCGGAGGGTGAGAGGCTTCACCAGAGACAGAGTGGAGAGCAGAACAGGCAGATTGATGAAGTACACTGCTGAGGGGAGCAGCGGGCTGGTCAGGAGAGATCTGCCACGCCGTGTGGATTCCCTTGGCTGGGGATTGAACTCATGCGGGAGTAGCTTTTGATTCTTTAACCCACTGCGCCACCAGGGAGGGCCCTGGTTTTTTTTTTAAGGTTTATTTATTTGTGCATATAAAAGGTTAAGGGCAGGGGGCAGTGGTGAGAGGATTCCCCAGGGAACAGAACAAGTGGGTTGACTGAAATACCAAGCAGTAGGCAAGACAGAAGAGGTCTGCTGTGCCATGTGGGTCAGCTCTCTGGCTGGGGATTGAATTCTGCAGTAGTGGCTGCAGTGAATAGCTTCATAGTCCTAGGATTTAACCCTTTATGCTACCAGGGAGGCCCCCTAAAGGTATATTTCTGATTAAAAAAAAAAAAGATACTTTCACTCTAAATTTTTATCATCCACCCTTCCTAATATTTTTTTAATTTATGTAGAATAGAAAATAGAGTTCTAATTTCTCGTGTCCTTTTTTCATATTTTATAATTTTATATTAAAGATTAATTTTTAATATTTTTCAGCTTGTAATGATGTTGATCGATGGCCTGCCCCAGTGCCAGGGAAAACATTACACTTGCCTATTATGGGGGTGGTAATGAAGGTAATGGTTTATATTTTGTTTGCTTTTTTCAGAAAGGAAATTCACATATAAGTTGTGCTTTTTAACTTCCTAATAGCATTCAATTCTCTTATTGTTTTCACTTTTTTACCTTGATGTGAGAAATTGCAATTGTGGAGATGCCACAATTTCTCCTGCTGAACAGAACCCTTCATCATACTCCAGGGACACCAGTCCTGTATTACCATGCAGAATTTGCATGAGAGTATCATTCTTATGTAAACCTGTGAATGTAAATGCCACCTCCTAGAATTCTGCAATGCCATAACTTTCCAGAGATTAGTGGTAGGCAGAAAGAGAATCCTTGTGGGATCATGTATGAATTAGTAAAAATCAAAAGAAATTAGGAAAATCATTGGTTCTTAGACCTACGTGCTCTTAGCTTGTAATGTGAGACCAAATGTGTACATTCCAGGAATTTGTTTTTGATTAAAATTTTAAAAAATGAATTAGTGTTTTATTGTCATATTTTGTGTGAATATGTTCTATGTGCTTTTACTATTCATTATCAAGCTAGGCTCATTTCTAGCAATATATTCTCTTTAGATGTGTTCTTGTAGATAATCTGTATTCTGTTTTTCCCTGAGAGATCATCAGAAGTAGTACTCAAGCTCTGGCTTGAGAGTTTTCATGGTTTCTGTGAGATTTGTCTCATAGTTTGGAAAGCTTGAGAGGGTGTGTTTGGGTGTGTATAGTAATGAAGCTGATTTGGAACAATAACAGGAAGCAGTATGAAGTTGATGTCCTTTTTCCACTTTTTAATACATTTACTCTTCACTACGTTAGTGATTTCTGTGTATGGCAATAAGGAGACCTTGGTTAACTTAACTTTATGCTGCAACTAAAAATAAATATGACTAGTTTTTGAATCTGGCATATTTTATTTTTATGATTTTATCCATTACTGGATATACCTTTTTAATGTTAGGATAAGGCACTTCTAAGACTTGTAAATTATAAAAAGGACATTATTTTGCATCAGAGTTAATTTCTTTTCTTCTTTTTAAGGTACGGATTCCCACGTGTCATGACAAGCCTGGGACCACTCAAATAGTGCAGTTAACTCAGCAGGTAGTATGGTACCTATAATTTAGCTCACATAATCTCATTTAACAGATTTTTTTAAATTAGTAGTTTCTTGGATTTATCATATATTTCTGAATATTACTGAAATATTTCATTAAAATAAATCATTCATTTTTTAACTACTAAGTAAGCTTTATGACTTAGGAATTTAGATTTTATTTCTTTGGCAGATGTTGGTGATTGCTCTGTAATTGTGAAGGCAAAGAGAAAGTAAATAGTTTTTCAGCAAGGTTTAATTCTAGCAAAATCTCTTAGAAAAGTGATCAGCAGACTTCTGTATTTTTTTTTTTTTAAGATTTATTTATTTGTGCATACAGAACTGGGGTACAGGCCAGAG